GGGAAAGGGCAGGCTCCTTTAGCAATTCGAAGCCGATGCAGAGCAAAGTACTGTGGAGGAGACGCCCCATCCCCCCCTCCCCACCCCGACCCCAGCCTTGCAGCCAGAGCCAGTAACTCACAGCTGTGGTTACCCGCGCGCTGATTTCTGTTTTAGAAAATACTGCTGGATAAACAGTGAGGGAAACCCGAGCTGTTCCCACACCACATAAATCCCCAGTTTGCTGTCCTATCTGGTTAGCTGGTTTCCCCCCCAGATAATGGCACTGCTGCCTCGCAAGCAAGGGCGGCAAAAGAGCGCCCCGGGAAGTGGGCGGTCGGGAGCCTCCCAGGCTGGCTCCCTGGCCCGCTCCGGTGGCCGCCCTCCTCCTCTGTTTCAGCACTTCCTGCCCAGGGTCACTCACCTTTGTCCTCGCTCTCTCCACCTGGACACCCTTCCTCCCTTCTTCTTCCTCCTCCCTTCTGCTGCACACAAAAGGCCTCCACAGGAGACCTTTCTGGGGCTGCCCCTGCAAACCTACCCAACGACCACACCTCCCCCTGGAATGCCTCCTTTGGAGTTGCCTTCCAGAGTGAGTCTTCTGTCAAAGTGCAAATATCCTGGCTCAGAAGGTAAGTCCTGAGCCTTCTTCACCTTGAAGATGACTTTTGCCTTAGGTTAGGGTTTCCAGATGCGGGGGGCGGGGGTGGGGGTGGGAAGAGGGGGAGGAGGAAGGACAGCCAGTTAAATTTAAATATCAGATAAACAACAAATAACTTTTTAGTGTAAGTGTGTCCCAAATGTTGCATGGACCACACTTAACCTGGACTTCCTGTGTTTTATCTGGCCGCCCTAACTCCATCAGGTACAGAAGCCCTGGAAAGGGAACCTTTACTGAGCACCTTCTGGGGGTCTGTACGTCGTCTCTACGGCCAGCCCCTGCTTTTCAGTTGAGGAGACCAAGGTCACGTGACTCCCAAAAGCCACAGTTCCGACACAGGCCCCTCTGTGTGTTGTGCTTTTAACACATCTACCCACAATCTTGGTAGCAGGCAAGTGATGGCCAGCACCAAAGTTTAAAATGCATCTATACGAGAGAAAACATTCATCTGAGGGAGCTGTCTCTATTAACGCAGCGCTTTCTGGGATTTAGCGGAAGGCCCCATGGTTGGTTCCCCGGGGCGGACTGTCTGGCCCCACCTTGCACACCTCGCAGGGGCAGCTGTGACAATCACAGGGACTATATTCTGCAATTTACCCAACCTTGTCCTGTTCCTCTTATTATGGGAGCCTCATCGAAGTCCTTTAGGGCAGTAGTGACCCTGCTTCTTTAGAGCCTTCTGAGAAGCAAAGGACACACACGTTCCAAATGAATGCCAGGCCCAATATAAATATCCTCGTCCCGTGAGATTGCCACCATATTCAAAGCTTGTCAGCCTCCTGTCCCATCCCCTGAGGTCTTGCTCAGTAACGGGTGTCTTGCCTGGTTCGTGTGTTCAACTTTCTGAGTGAATGCTTAATAGTTTCGTCTTGTCCCTCTTGCGTGGCACATAAATATTTCACGGGGCCTTCTGGAGTTGCCTTAAGATGAGCAACTCAGGTACTTTCATCACCATCATCTAGCTAGTGTCACTAAAACTGTCGACCGGCTGTGGCAAGAGCTTTCCTGAACTCACCTCACTCACTTCTCTCAGCAACTTAACGGGGAAACAAGAAAAAGTTTATCCCCATTTTATAGATGAGAAAACTGAGGCTCAAGTGATAAAGCGAGTTGCTGAAACCCATGAAGCTTATTAATGGAAAAGATGGGGCTTGGACCCACGCTCTTCCTGGCTCCCGAGGCCACGACCTTGACCTTCTGTTGCACTGCCACAGGAGAACGCGTTTTGGGGCCAGGATGAGCCTTCTTCACCCTCCCCGGAGACGTGACATGCCCCATGGGCCAGCAGCGTTAGGAAAGAGAACGCATCGTAATTGCCCCCGGGCACCGTCCTTTGCAGTCAGCCAACAGACGTCAGCTCGTTTATCTCGGAACAGCCACCTGCGGCTGGTACTGTCATCTCCATTTTGCCAGGGAGAAAACTGAGCCCGGAAAGTGGATGCGACTTGCCTGAGTCCACACAGCTGATGAAAGGCAAGGCACTGTCTTCAACCCGAATCTTCTACCTGCAACCCCAGGCTCTGCCTCGGACGCCCTACAACTCCAGGCAGGCGGGCGGGGTCGGTGGCGCCAAGAACGTGCCTGCTTGCCGTGCACAATGGAGGAAATTCCAAGTTCTTTGCTTCAGGTGTGGCCAAGTCAGCTGCCCACTCCAGGGCCCCTCCTCCTAACACTCGCTTTTCCTCTTCCCCCTGCCACCTCCAACAACAACCAGAACAGCGTCCCCTCCCTTCCTGAAAATCCCACTCCCCTTGGCCTCCTGGCCTCAGGCCTTTTTTCCACAGAAAGCCACTTCTATCCATCTCTGTCTCTCAGGCCTGCGGGGCCTTGACAGGGAAATGCTGACTTTGAGGAGGTTAAAGGTGCCGGTGCCCAGCCTTCATCTAACAAACGGGTTGCCAAGAGGGGAGGCACTATTGTTGTTTTTTCCTGGCCTCAGAAGAGGCGCCTGTCAGGAAGATGTAGAGGCCAGTGGGCCCCCAGCCGCGCCCCGCGGGGTGGCTGACAGACGCTAGCAGCTGCGCGGGGGCGCCGGGGTGCCAGGGCCCCGCACAGAGCACCCCTGCCGGGCCCCCTCCCCGCTGCCCCTCCTGACCTCTCCACCCGCCCCACCATGACCCAGGACCTACCCCTTCCAGGGGCAAAGGGCCAGGCTGCTGGGCCTCACTGGGCCAGATGAGGAGGCCAGTGCGAGAATGCAGTTACCGCCTGCCGGGCCGGGCCTCGGGAAGGTTCTCCTAGGGAACGGTTTCCTAGGATCTTCCTCCCAGCTTCCTATGGATTTTTTCTAGAGCCCCACAGCCTGGAGCCTCTCGACAGACCTTACCAGGCTCTTCCTGCAGAATTTCCTCAGTGCTCCCCCGTCCCACGGTCTCCCCTCAGATCATCAAGTTAAGGAGGAGGAGACAAGCTAGGAAGGGAGCCCCATTTATCTGTTACTTACTTGGCAGTTCACATAAACGGTTGATTTAAACATTTTCCAGTGCCTGTGGGGTAGGCATTCTGATGCAGTAGGGCCAAGCTGCCTGGGTTTGAACCCCGGATCCTCCACTTCGCAGCTGTGGGACCTTGTGCAGGTTACACAGTCTCTCTGTGCTTCAGAGTCCTCTTCTGAAAAACAGAGATGATGTGTAAAGCACATGGCTCCGAGGACTTTTGTGGGGATCCATGGCCGGGGCAGGGGAGCAGTATTGTGAGGCATTAAGATCAGTGGGTAAATGTCAGCTACCATCAGTGGATGGATGGACCATCATCCCAGATGAGGAAACCGAAGCTCAGAGAGGTAAGGCAACTTTGCCCCAGGGCACACAGTAAGAAAGCAGCAGGCCCAGCATGTGAATTCACACCTGTTTAAACCCAAAGTCCACGCACCAAGCTGCTCCACTCACCTGAGGGCAACTCCCGGCTCTGCCACTTCCAGCTGGGTGACTTGGAGCAGCCCGCGTTACCTATCTGAGCCTCATTGTCCTTGTTTGTAAAACGTAGACCATAATCCTTACTTTACCCATAATAGGAGGATGGGGAGGTTCAGAGGGGAAATGTATATGCAACAGCTAAGTCCTGGACCAAGTGGAGGAATGAGCCTGCTTTGTGGCTGTGACCCCGTCTCCTCTGCTGGGTGACAATGCCCTAGCTGCCCAGTGCAGAGGACGAAATGCCTGCTTCATGGAGAGCGTGAGTGTGACCTCCAGGCTCCAGAGCTGAGACCCCTCTTCCGTGGGAAGCAGCCAGCAGAGATATCGCTACTATGGTCCATACACATTTCAGCCCTGACCTCGCCGCTCTGGGCTGTGGAAATATTCAGTGGGAGGCGAGCTCTGGCCCCGTGGTCTTGGAATGCCATCCTCCAAGAAATTGCATTAACCCTCCGCAGAGACCAGCAGGCCACGGGGATGAAGGAGACCGACTGACCGGTTGAAACAGCAATCGGTCCTCTTGCGATTGGCACCAGCCAGGAAGACCCTTCGCCAAAGAGAGAGCTCCTTTGGGGATGAAACTATCCCCAATTCCCATATCCATGCCCCAGACTTCACGGAAGACTTGGCATCTGGGGATGAAGAGGGGGAAGCAGGTGGGTGAAGGTTAGGGGGCCAGGGAGCAGGTGGGGGAGGCCTGGAGACCCTTCAAGAGCCTTATCTAAGAGCTTTTCCTTTGCCATGGAGAAAAATGCCTCGAAACCCTCTAGAGAAGAGTGTGGCTAATTGGCATTAAGTTGGGGGTTCAAGAACGGAAGGAAGAATCTGACTGTTTTTTTAAGTTACCGAGAAAGTAAGAACGTCATTTGGGGCAGAGAGAAATAATTTTTTTCTGGAGTATATCTTTCCATATACTGCAGACCCTAGCGGGCCGCTGAGACTTGCAAGAAAAGATTGCTTTTAATCCACCTTCCTTTTCGCAAGCAGCAGTAGAAGGGCCTTTAAATCAAATGCAATCAGCAAACTTGTCTCTTGCACTTATTCCCTGCTTCACTCCCTGGAATTTGGCACTTGATGGATTCTGGATCTGACTTAAGGCTTTTTCCAAATCCAAGACTTGGGGAATTTTGTTAACAGTGCAATAAAATAACTTCATAGTGTTACGGGAGGCACATTAAAGAAGTTGTGTGTGTGAGCTGCTCTCTCTCCTTAAAAAAAAAAATACAGACAATGTTTCTTTAAAAGTCTCCATCTGCAAATCCCATTAGATGTGCATATAAGGTTTCTGATGATTAATAGTTGCCTGCTCGGGTTTTGGTTGGAGGGGATCGTGTGGGTGCGGGTTAACCCCTCCCTCTCCTCTCTCACATTTCACTTCAGAAATTTGTCACTCTCTCCCCACCGCAGCATTTAAAAGTGTGTCTCAGCAGCCCTGGTCCAGCCCTCTGCAGGCATTTGCTGCGGGCTCCGGGACGAGCGCTCCGTCAGCTGCTGCGTCTGGGCTGGGACAGTGAAAATGTTTAGTGTCATCGGCGACACATACACATACAGGGGACCCCAATAGGCAGGCTGGTGTGTCGGGGAGCAGGAAGCCAGAAGTGAAGTCGGACATAAGTGTGCACGCACACATATGTGTAGCTGGCCACACGTGTGTGGACTTTAAAAAGAGACTTTAGTTTTGGTTTTTCTTTTGGTTCCTGGGGTGAACTTTCTGTTGAACATTTTTCCCTCTTATTTAATTTTTTTTTTTACATTGAAAAAAATTTGAATATAATAGTGTACGAATCAAACCGTTGAAAGGCTGAGGCGTGCAGCAGACGGCAGATGGATCCCGTGGCCAGCAGCTGCATGAGGAGCCCCCACCCCCCAGCCCCTGTCTGGGGCTGCCTGCGAAACCCCCACGCAGAAGGCAGCGGGGCCGCGGCGCTCCCCCACTACCCGCCAACCCCGTTCTCCTTCCACCAGAAACCAGACTTCCCGGCGGCAGCGACAGCAGCGTACCCTGACTTCTCGGCCTCCTGCCTGGCGGCCACCCCACACAGCCTGCCCCAGGAGGAGCGGGTCTTCACTGAGCAGCACCCCGCCTTCCCACAGCCCCCCGACTGGCACTTCCCCGTCTCGGAGGCCCGGCGCAGGCTCAACCCGGGCCCACCCGGGGGCTCCAGGGAGACGGGGGCCAGCAGCCCAGGCCTGGTGGACACCACAGGAGGCCCAGGTGAGGACTACGAGGTCCCCGGGAGCACTACCAACGAGACGGAGAAGAAGGCGACCAGACGGAAAAAGGAGAGTGCAGGTAGGTGGCTGAAGAGCAGCTGACCATTCTTTTACTGTGTGACCTTAGGGAGGTTTCTTGCCTTCTCTGAGCCTGACTGCCCTGAATAGCAGTCAGTACTACCTGACCTATTCAAAGGCAGGAGCTACCTTTGCAGTTTCTTTTCCTCGGAGTTCTAGGGTTCTCTGGTGATGGGGGGCTCTCTGTGTCCCCAGCGCTCCTGGGCACCAGGAAGGATGTGCCAGCAAGAGAATGAAACAGGATCCACAAAGATTCGGAGGAAATGTGGGAAGGAGCCTCAGTGTAGGCCGCAAGGGCTGGCGGGGCGCTTTCCTGAACCCGAGCCGCCTCCAGGTCGTGCCTCTCCCCGCCATGCCCTGGCCCCAAACGGTCCCAGAGCCACAGGGTTTGCTCACCATGGGAACCAGCTGAGATGGAAGTTCGGAGGCTAGAAGCCTGGGTGGTGGAGCAGAGCCAGGACCCTATGTCTCCAGGAGCCTAGCGGCAGAGAGGCAGGACTAGGGCTGGGACGGGAGAGGCAAGGAGTGAGGGCAACATGCGGTGCTGAGATGTGGAGCAGGCAGCCCACCAGGTCTCGCCCTGCCTGGCTGGCCTGCACCTAGGCCAAAGGGAGCAGCTCAGCGTGGTGGGGTCTGGGTGACCCCCAGAGACGGCCCTCCTGAAGGATCGCCGGTCTTGGGGAGAGTCAGCAAGGCAGGCAGCCAAGGGCAAGCGCTGGACCTCAGACGCAGGTGAAGCTCAGCTCGGTGCTGGAGTCCCAAGGCCAGAGGGTGGAGCTGGCCCTCTCGTTAAGATCCCAGCTAAACTCCTTCTCGCCCCTGCAGTAGGGACCTATTGTCCCCTCACCTCCCACGGGGCCCTTCCCAGCCCCTCCACGGCCTGCTTACCAGGGGCCTGGTTCCCTGGCCCCACCTGGCCCAGAGCAAGGCAGTGCCCATGCCTCCTGCCCTCACTGTGCGCTCTCTTCCCCTGACAACCACCCACAGGGCAACGTCTATCTGTCCAACATGTAGAGGATCTTCTCATGGGGCTACCCAGGCACAGGTGGAAAATGAGAGTGCCAACCAACCAGAGAAAAAACCCTGTGCTTTGCTTTACAGAGCACTTCCAATGTAGCACAGATTCTCTGAGCATCTTCTTCTTGCCAAGGCCCTGGGCATGCAGAGATGAATAAGGTGGTCTCAACCCATCCCCAGTCCACCCCCTGCAAAAAGCTCAAACGGCGAGGGAGGAGAGGCCACCAGGGGCCTGTCTGACAGCACATGTGCTCTCAGGGAGGTTCAAGGTGCGGTAGACGACATACGTTAGCTCTTTGGAGTTTCACCAGTTTGTGCTCTAAGTCCAGCAGATCTTATCAGTAGGTTCCATTTGCGTGGAAAAGGAGAGACGTAGTTTGAGGGGACCCCTGCTAGAATGGAGTCTAAACAGAGTGATCCCCTAATCTCAATTCGCCCAGGACTTTTCTGATTTTAGCACAGAAAGTTCAGTGTCCCCAGAAACCCCTCAGCCTTGGGCAAACCAGGGCAGTTGGTCACCCTTGAAATAAGCTCAAACCCTGAACTTCAGACCCCAAATCCCACACCCTTCCGTAGCTTTCAAGCACGATCCTCATCTTGAAACAGGAGGCTTTTGAAACATCCTTGAAGAAGCACCTCAACGCTCTCACAATGGATGATAATGACCACAGCTCTCCTGGCTGCTCAACAGAAGGGCCCTTTAAATTTCCAGCCCGTGAAATGCTGAACCATTCCTAGCCCTGGCTGGAGATTTGCCGAGAATGGGGCACTTTGTGCTCCTCTTCTCCAAGGAGCTCTCAGCGACTTGGCTCCGAGCCTGGCTGAAGAGCTCTCCCCTCCACGGCGCCGGCCACCATCTCTGCCCACACCTCCCTCGGCCGCATGCAGCCACTTTCCAGGGGACTGAGAGCCAAGGCACTGGGAAGGCACGGGCTTAGGAAAAATCATTCCGTGTTTCAGCAAGACTCAATCGTACGTTTTCCCTTTTGGCCTGTGGCCCGCGGCACTGCATTAGGGAGTAAGCTCATGTGCAAGCCGCTGACCACCCCGAGAGGACACGGACCCCCTCGGCTGAATTTCCTCTGCCTTCAGAGGGTCAGCCTTGGGTCGCGGGAGGTTCCCATCCTCGAGGGGCCCTGGGCTCTCCCTCAAGATCCCCCCTCAGGAACAGCAGCAACAGCAGAAGTCACAAGAGGCACAGCACAGCAAGCTGACTTTCATTCATTCTCTGGGATTCCAGGCCTGCTCCCCATTCAGCGTGGCAATTTTTATTACCCGGCTAGTTGCTTTGAGTCTTCCTTTGGGACTTAGCTGGAGGGGAAAGCGGTGGGCAAGGCTCACCACCCACTCCAGGAATCTGCTCACAACAGACAAACCCGCCAAGGTGCTACCCCCTTCCCCGCCCCCCGATCCTGAGTCACTACTTAGAGTCTTCCTTATTTAAAATGTGGATATTTTATTCCTCATGGATCTTTTGTGTTAATTCTTAATGTTTTAAAAATTGCATTGAAATATTATTTCTCTTGACTGAGGTTTTAGGCACCCCTTGCATTTTGCACTCAACGTGAGCTCCTGACACACCTGCCCTGGCCCCCTGCTAGGCACCCCCTGGAAGGTTAACCAGCCAGGACCAGAAATGTGTTTTCCAGAGTGCCTCACAGTCCGGTGTCCGCGCTGCAACTCTGGACTGCCTGACTTTCGGAAAATTCTTAACTTCTTTGGGCCTCAATTTTCCCAGCTATACAATGAAACCATAACAAGAGCACCTTCCATATAGAGTGGATATGAAGGTTAAATACAATGATCCACAAGATCAACACAGTACCCGGCCCATGACATTGATAAATGGAAGCTATGAAGGACATTAGGCCCATATTTCCTGAACCAGCCTCTGTCAAATCTCCCTGTTATTTATGGGGTCAATGGAACTGAATACTTCAAATACACTGTCTCAGAAATTCCCGAGTCTGGGGTATAAACAGTGGGAGCCTCTTATAATCGTTGATCCTGAGAATCCAATTGTCATCAACTAGGAGCTCAGAGATCTGCTGGGGAGGATGGGGGGCCTGGCGCGGGGTGCGGGGAGCGGGTTGTGCCTGGTGAATGATCCCATACTGCTGAGGTACCTCAGGTAACAGAAAGTTACCCAAAGTCTCTTTCAAGAGGGACGTTCTCTGCTCTCCCCTCTCCTTCTCTCCTTTTGCCATCCCCAACTGCTGCTACTGGAAGTGGGGCTGATTTGCTCAAATAAATGATGGGGAAAGCAGGGGTCCCTCGCCCCCCGCCCCCCAGACCTTCTTTGTGTTGGTTCACAGCACAAAACTGATTTAGGAGACCAGTGTGATGTTATCTCACCGCGGCCTCTCCCAGGGCGTTAGAGACCCCCGCTGGCAGGGACAGCTGCGAGGCCACTGTTGTTTGCCCCCAATCTGTCATTGCTACCGTGGTTGTCTTTAATTTATGGGGGTGAGGGATTTCTCGGTGATTTCCTGACGGGGTTCAAGGGAAGGTCGCGCGTGATCGGGTGAATCTGATCGCCCACCGGGGAGAGCCCCCGCGCTTGCGCTCAGCGCTGCCGGCTGGGCTCTCACGTACTCACTCACTCGGCCTCATCAGACCGGCTTTGTCCCCTCCTCCCTCGGCTTCAACACGTGTCCTTCCCCAGGGCTCGGCCCTCCCCATTTCTCCCCTGCACGGCCTGATCTCTGCCCACCCCTGCCCGACCACAGGAGCCCTCCTTTCGCCTGAGGTTAAAACCCTCCACAGATTGGCCCCTTTTGCCTTTTCCCACCTGTTCCCCTTCTACCCGCCACCCCTCTCACCTCCACCTCCACCCGCCCTGCCCCAAGCCACACCAGTCTACTTGCCTTGCAAACAAAACACGCTCAGCTCTTGCTCCCCTACCCCATTCGCGGAACACCTCGCCCTTCCCCCACTCTTCTGCCGATTGACACCCTACATATTTTAGCATCCAGCTTGAAACCCATCCCCTTCAAGACTTCTTTCTTTTCCTTTTTTTTAAAATGATGACTCCACTTGTACATAGCATCATTTCAGTGAAAGCTATAGTTGCGAAGTTTTAAATTGTGGTATCCTCTAGGACCTGTGCTGACTTTCGGAATACAGTTTATGACCACGTAGGAGCTCTCCTGAGATTCTTATCATGGGACATCTTGTATTTGAAATCTCCTTTTTATTTATTTTTACTGTGGTCGAAAACACAAAACATAAAATGTACCAACATAAACATTTTTAAGTGTATGGTATTGTAGCGTTAACTATATGCACATTGCAAAAGATCTCTAGAACTTTTTCATCTTGTAAAACTGAAGCTATATCCATTGAATGACAACTTCCTTTTCCCTTGCCCCAGGCCTGGAAACTTTCTGTTCCTAAGAGTGTGACTACTTTAGATACCTCATGTAAGTGGAATCATGCAAAACATGTCTTTTTGTTATTGGCTTATTTTACCTAGTATAATGTCCTTGGGGTTCATGTATGTTTTAGCATTAGAACAGGATTTCCTTCTTTTTTAAGGCTGAATAATATTTCATTGTATGTATACACTGCATTTTCTTTATCCATCTAACTCACGTGTTGATGAGCAGACATTTGAGTTGCTTCTGCCTCTTGGCTACTCTGAATAATTCTGCAATGAACATGGTGTACAAATATGTCTTCAAGATCCTACTTTTGAATTTTTTTGAATATTTACCCAAAAGTGGGATGGCTGGATCATATGATTCTATTTTTAATTTCTTGAGGAACATCCATACTCTTCCATAGCCATGCCATTTGACAATTTCACCAACAATAAACAAGAATTTCAATTTCTCCACACCCTCACTAATACTTGTTATTTTCTGGGTTGGTTGGTTGGTTGGTTTGTGTCGGTGGTCCTCCTAATAGATGTGAGGCGATCGCTTATTGTAGTTTGGATTTGCATTTCCCTGATGATTGGTGATGCTGAGCATGTTTTCATGT